AGTAATATAGGGAAAGAAAATGCAGATTTTCTAACCACTTGTGAGTGGTTTCTGGTAGTAGCTGTGAAGCTGATTACTAAAGCGCCAGTCAAATGGGCCTAAGACCCGTCAGTGACTCCCTGCTTGTTCCTAGGGAAAAGTGTTTATTCCAGGACTGGATGGTGAGTGGTTCATAGCAGTCATGAGAATGTACAAAGATAGATGAGATGTATAGTGCTACACCATAAGTCTCCTTGCTACCTTCATCAGTGCACACCTATAGAACGCACCAATGGTAGGGGAACTATGAAGTGTGACACAAAACTGAAACTGTTTACATTCAAACTAAACCTTTCATCTTTTGAAATGTGTTGGTTGTCAGGCAGAATTGTGAATTAGATGGTAAACATCCTCCAAGTTTGCATCACATCTTGGAGAGTAAAATGGCGAAATCAGAGAATTCTGTGTCTTTCATGTAAGTTACCGACAACTGCTTGTGACCAAGCGCAAGGCTGGTTATGGTGCACGATCTTATGATGGAGTTACTGGTGCCATGGCTCATAGACCTCTACAAACGAGTTAGTGAAGCAAATTGATCAGCTGTCTTATCGTGTCTAATGATAAAACATACGTCCTCTTTATGGCATGATTATAACCAACAATATCCTTGCATCTGCTCATTGCCAACCACTTCATTTTGTAGAAATCCAGCCAGTTCTTTTAAGTGTGTGTGTGTCGAAATAGTATTTCAACTTTATTCTCAAAATGAGCAATAAGATGTTTATTTCTTAATGTGGCCCTAATACCTTCATAGGCTCTTCTCTGTGATTGGTTTCATCCAGTGTCAGCCGGCAACCCTGAGCAATCCCTTGCCAGCCGGTCTGGGAGTACACTCGCTCCATGGTGACCAGAGGTTGCCCAGATGTTAACACCTGGTCTCTAGACCTGTGTGACTGGGGCCTTACGTAGTCTAACACCACAGTCAACTACAGCTGGTTTGGCAATAGTTGCGATCACCTTTCTCTGTTGAGCTCAGCTTTCTGCTCCACGCTCTGATGTTTAAAGGAGCTGTTTATAATGTAATTTACTAACTTTTACTTCCAATTTAACCAAACAGCAGCAGTGTTTTACATGAATGTATTGATTTTGGATGAGATTGGTGTGCTGTAATGTTATCACCGTTCCCTAACATCAAAGCAGGAAGTTCTCTTTGTGCTCGTTTGTGTTTGTCAAAGTGGTCATTTGAAAATTGGTTTATAGGTTGTCTTGTAGCTGTGTAACATGCAGCTGCTCTATTGTTATTGTAAGTGTTAATGTGGAGCAGATGTATCTTATATGCCTACTGTTGCTATTATTTAACTTGTGTTGTATCACTTGTCTGCCCACTTATGTGCACTAATTAATAATGTAACTAGGGTTAATCATTCACTTCTTTATGTGAACACAGTCCATGTTTTACTGCTCACAGCACTTAAAACATGTGGTTATCCTAATTGGGCGTTTATAAAGTCAGCAAAGATGCACAGAAGAGAAGATCAGACACCAGCGAGGGAGGATAAGAAGGACAGACGCAACAACATTGTCATCCCCTATGTAGCCGGTGTATCAGAGAAACTCAGGAGAGTTTTCTCCAAGCATGACATCCCGGTGTACTTCAGACCCAGCAACACACTCAGACAGAAACTGGTTCACCCGAAAGACAAAACGCCAAAACACAGACTTAACAATGTGGTGTTTGCCGTACAGTGCAGCGAGGAATGCCCAGACCTCCACATCGGAGAGACCAAACAGCCACTTCACAAGCGCACATCTGCATCTAAAGGTCAAAGGTCACTCTTTCGAGGATGCCAACGTTCACATTTTGGACAGAGAGGACAGATGGTTTGAAAGAGGAGTGAAAGAAGCATCTATGTCCACTGTGAGCGACCATCTTTGAACAGAGGCGGTGGTTTACGACACCAACTCTCTGCCATCTATAATCCAGTTTAGGCGTAGCGAGCTGTCTGTGAAGATGCATAGTTTCCTTAGCAACAAGCGACAACTCTGCCCTTTTTTGTATATTTTTTCTGTATTCAGGGAGTAGTGTAGTTTGTTACCCATGTGTAACCCTAGATATTTCTATGTCCACCCCAAAGACTTTCACAGGCTGGAGAGGAGGCCTGAATCTTTGAAAATCTACTATCATTTCCTTCATCTTACAGGTTCAACATGAGGTTGTTTTTGTGACTTTTACAGGATCCTTATATTCAGAATTCTGTCCGTTGTTAAAACACCACAATGGCAGTATCATCTGAGTGTTTCTGGATGTGGCAGGACTCCGAATGGTATTTGAAGTCTGCTGTACACGATGTGAAAGGGAACAGAGCCAGGACAGTCCCCTGTGTTGCCCTCGTGCTGCTCATTAATGTTCCAGAAACACAGTTTTCCAACCTGACTAACTGGTCTTTCTGTCAGGTAGTCTGTAATCTCTGTGAACTTGTGAAAGATCACATAAGTGCCAGATTTCTCCAGATGAGCTAGGGCACGGTGCAGCATGTAGAGGACGGGGGTCATGTATGTTGTTGACCTGAAGTCACAGTCGGTGTAGAATCAGCTGTTCCAAGGTTTTCATGATGTGCGATGTGGGGGCCACTGCTCTGTAGTCGTTCAGGTCAGCTGGACACTTCATTTTTGGTACAGGATGTTTTCCACAATGTCAACACCCGCTTCAGTTGTACTCAGATTAATGACACAGGTGTGAGAGGGGAAGGAGAAGGAGAAGGGGGGGCTGTGGTGGAGAAACCTGACATCTGATTAGGACCAAATATTTACAACATTCCTGCAACAACTGAATGGATGTAAATTCCAGTGACCGTGTGATGCATGCTCTGCACTGTTATTGACAGACAGGTCCACTGTCCAACCAGCTCACATCACCTCCCGGATCACAAACGACCACTGAATTAGACACTGAAAACTGTGGCGCTTGCAGACGGTTTAGACGGAGTAGAAAACGCTGTATAAGAACCAGTCCACTTACCAGTTACTATTTTAATGGCCAACTTTAAAGCATGAAAAAACTGTTTCACAGCCCGCTGTTTAAATAGTTTTATTACAATATAAATTCTGCCAGGCAACTGCTGTTGAGAGTTATAGATCTAAGAGTAAAACTGAATGGGGTTGAAATTAAACTGAAAACTTTTGGGTTGTTTCTGTCTTCATTACGACTCCATGCAGCGCGGCTTGTGAGTCTGCGACTCATCACTTTACATTTGTAGATTTGTTATTGGTTCCCCATGGAGGATTTTAATGTGCTTCTTTATGTGTGCATTATTAAACCAAAGCTCACTGGTGAGTGCTGACAACTCAGTTCTCCTCCATCCTATCAGCATACAGAAGCTGTTTGTATCTCCGTGCTTGTGTGCTTGGATAACGTGTGCATGTTTCCCTGTCGTCAGGGACCATCCTGCTGTCATAAAGAGACGCTTCACCAGCGTCCTGATTGTGTCAGGTCTGTCGCCCCTGTTTGTGTGGGCATGGAGAGAATCTGCAGGTGTCGTGGTGAGTTGAGATCTTGTTCCAGTACCTCAGGATGAACATTTTGTGCTACGTTGTATCACATTTTCTGTTTTCATTTGTGTGTCAGAATGGCCCGTCTTTGCTGGTTCTCATGGGAATCCGGTTTGAAGGCCTCATTCCTGCCATTATACTTCCTCTGCTCCTCACCATGGTAAGAAACAGCCAATGTGCTTCCCTAACATTACTACTGGGTAGGGCTGCCACGATTAGTCGACAAGTCACGATTACGTCGACAAGTCACGATTACGTCGACTATCAAAATCGTCGACGACT